ACATTCTTCAAATTTCTTTCTGTCCATATGTTGTGGCACTTTTGCCAGTTCTCTGTAATTGGTTACGAGTTGAATAAATAATAAGATAATCGTATCTAATTTAGAGTTCGTTGCTCACGGTTTCATAGTACTTTACTTTTTTCGTGATATTTCTGATTGATTGAGACTATCACGACGGAAATGGCGATCGCGGTTACGATATTCGGTATCGAATTAGCACTTCGCTTCGGTAAAGTTTTTTCCTACACTGTCGTGTGATGATGATGATAGCTTGGAACTAATGTATGGTCGACTTCTCGAAGACGTTCGATTCTGGGATCCAAAATTTCACATGATCGGCTAACTTGAAATACTAGCTCATTGGAGTCCGTAAATTGTGTTGGTGTGTCTGCTGTTATTTTTTGTCGAGTGGGGTTCGTAAGTGTGTGTGTGTATGTATGTGTCGACATCAACTGTATCCTCGGTGTCGCTCACAGTCGTTCTCTCTACTGTGCCTCTGTTTTGCTCTTTTTTAGACTCACTGTCGATCAAGTTATTTAGCATGCATTATGAGTCTAATGTAAACCAAGCAGGTTTGCTTTACTCGATTCCACTGGGCTTCATACATTCGCAAACAGTGAACTCAGGTCCATGAAAGATATTAGGAGAAAACCGGGCGTTACAGAATAGATCAGTTTTCGTGGATAAATTAACCGCAATCACACAGTTCAGTAGTTGATGTATGACTTGTTAGACTGTCTTAGCCTGTGATATTTTTCTAGGTTGTATGTATGCGTGTGTGTGTGTATGTGTGTGAAAGAAGGTCAGGGGCAGTCTAATCCGGTATAAGGAATGGAACTCGGCNTATGTGGCTGTATAGCTCGTGTCACGCTTTCTGGCCGATGAATTTGAGATCAGCCTAGTCAACTGTTAAAAACACCGGATAATATGGTTCAATTTTGAGATCAGTTGCACTTGGTAGTCTGTTTTTTAGCATCACATTTAATTTTCCTGCTCTGTGCTTTTTCATGTCCTCAGTCCAAATTGGTAGCCACAAGACAGCAACCAAGAACTTCCTCATCATCATTCACCACTGTGCTACACATCAGATATGGTGAACCCCATAGTCACGAGAATTTGCTGTGGTAATCGATATCCTAAGCCCCGGGACCTGGAGTGGCGAATCACTTAAACCTCATTAGGCTTGGTGTGGTATTGAGAGAGAGAGAGAGAGGACAACTGTGAGGCTGCCCACCATCAAAAGTGGCGGTAGCATAATTCAGCGAAATCACACCACTGGTAGTGGGGGTGTGGGGTTGTTTTCCTGATCCTCGGGAACAGGAAGTCGATTGGTGAATCAAACTAGATTGAACTAATAAACATTGTTGGACGATGATTGGGGATTATATGTATCCCCGACCAGATTGGATATGATTCAAGCTAAGACAGATATTGGGAGAATGGTTTGTCCATTTTGTTCCGTCGAACGAACGGTTTTGCTGTTTAATCACTACATGAGAACCAAGCTTTGCACATGAATGGCCGTTTCGCATGGGATAATTTTTTTTGAGTACTCAGAAAATGCGGTGCGCTTTATGCTTTTCTTTGGGATTTGTCCAGACGTAGCTGCGTCGCAAGTAATACACGGAGTCGGTGGAGTGAAGTGGAGTGGGGTGTGGTCGGTGCATTCAGTGGCAACAGGGCAACGTGAAACTGGGCTGGGAGTCTTGCACAATGAGCATACCCGACAGGGTTGGCCGCGAACGTGTTCGGACTAAACAACATGGGATAACCCGCTAATAACATCTATCGGTCTGGTTTTGTACAGACTGTCAGTAGCGATTAGTGGTGGCGGATTTTTTTTCGATAAACAGGACAAGAAGAATCTGTGCACTGTAGACGGACTTACAATTATTCACCCACCGGTTGATTGAAATTGATCTCCTTAGTGAGTGGTACCCTCTCAGTTGCTTACAATAAGATGGAATTGGTGCTGAGAAAGGTCCAATTCATCTCACAGTGACAGATATGTCATTCGATCCACAACCCCTTTCTCACCTTGCTTCTTCACTCATTCAAATGTACAAAACACATCCAGGGGAGATGACTGCTTTGAATGAAACAAACAATAAGAATGTTTTGACCTTTTTAGATACCTTAAACAATGGCAAACTCACTTGAGGACCTAGTAGCGACGAGGGTTAAGGGTTTTAAGCCATTTGCATGTTGTACTGCAGTTCGCGATTTTGAAGTTTGGTGCACACACCCACAAAGAGAAAACGCTTTTTTGGATTGCTCGGTCTCTGTAAACGGTATCATCATCAAGCATTCCGGTCTCATAAGAAGTGACAGCAAGATCGCCACTGCTGTCGGTTCGCAGCTATGACCTTCAATGTCTCCAACGATGCAGTTACGCAGTCTTTTGAGCCCTAACTCGGAAGACAAGAGAGACACCTACTCTGCCTAATCACTCAGTGCATTTCTTAATGCCTCGTCTCCACGTTATCTGCTGGTCACTATATGGCTTTATCCAGTCTGTAACAGCCATTACAAGTAAGGCGCGTTGCGATAGGCGGCCGTCGGACGTGCACAAAACCTGTCCCCACCAACGGAGCCTATTGAGCTGAATTCTATGCGATGGCCAATTCTTGTCCGATGCATTCCAAAATACCGGACGACGACTTACCTCCAAGTTACTAACCCGTTCACGGTTTAGTTAGCCGCGTCTTTGGTGATCGCCCATTACTGACAATACTACTTTTTTGACGTTGGAGCGTTTTATTAGAATATGGTTGCACTGACTGATGGATTGAAATGAAGGCGGTGGTGGCCCTGTGGTAACGTCACCAAATTATCCATTTGGGGGACGTGTGTTCGAATCCCACCACCACCGCCTGACTTTCTCTATTGTGTGTTGTGTGACAGCTCTTTGATTGGCCGCTTCTCCCTTCCTGAAAATTGCATCATGGAACGTTTTTCTTTTTATGGAGATTATTGTACCATGGTTTTTTTGGCACACAGCCTGGTGTCGGACGTGTGTGAAATACACATGTACTCTAACATACTGAGTAAATCGTCAAACGCGTAATGAATGCAGACACACCGAAACCACCGGTCGGCAGACTACCGCAATTTTGCGGACTGCCAAACCAGTTGTCCCTTTATGGCCGATCGGACCACCTCGCAGAACATTTGTGTTCAACAACTGAACAACCTTTAGCCGATCAAAATCTTCGAATGGAACTACTCAAGTCCCGTCACGTTGTGGACTAGCGGTTTGTCGAACTCGCTACGACACGCCTGTCAAAAACATTTCCAGCTCGGAACGTCCTCCTCAAGTACATGAACTACAAACAGTCCGCACTATACTCACTACTCGTTTTTTCTATTTCAGTCTACGTACTCGTCTACAGAAAATGTCCAATACGATGACGATTGGTCTTCGCGTTTTCGTATAGCTAGACAATGGGTCGTGCTTGCCGTGTTGATTTCCATTGTGGTCGGTGTCCTCTTTTACGATGAAGGTCACCCTGAACGAAACAGTAAGCTGTCGGTACTGTTTCGATACAACGGGTACGTTTAATTGCGATTTTCCAGTGTATACGGTCAACCTTGTCGTGCATAGCCTAGCCATAATGCTTTTCTGTTCATATTTTGTTTGCACTGTAAAAGACAAACTTAATCGTTCAGTCAAATTAAGCCCAAATTAAGAACCCCTTTGTAAATAACTGTAGTCGTATCCCGCGATATTAGTATTAGTTCCAAACGTGTTGTGTAAATTTTAGCACCACCACTCCTCCCCCCCCCCTCAAACGGTGTTAAATCTTGCCGTTTAGTTGTCAAATCCCACAGTCTTGGAATCTTGGAATTCGGAATATCGAACCGCATAAGGCTACTGGTCTGCGTGATCTAGAGCCAAGCATCTGCGAAACTGTTTACCACCAAGTATGGCAGTGATCCGGTGACAGTTGTTGGATTAACATACCTATCCTCGGTTATCGTTCGATTTCCTTAGACATCGGAATAGAATTGAAACCGGTTTCGCTGTCGAATAGAAAGATTTCACTTCACACCGAGAACTAGATCGCCCTCCTTATGCGTGCAAGACCCGGTGCCCAGAGCGTCTTGGTAGGTTAGTTAATCTATGCTACATGTCTATCTATCCATCGATCTCTCTAGCGTGGCCCACAAGGCAGCTGGACGGTGTATGGGACCCGGTGTCCAGTTCGTCAGATCATATACCCTCTAGACGAGTCACATGTCCAAGGTGCCCAACCGAACTGGTAACGACTATCACAACCAGGAAGGTGTTTGTGTTTTGTACGCGTCTTTTCGGTTTCAAATCCGATGATAGCCAATAATCCACTGCGCCACCATCACTATAATCTGTGCTCCATCGTGAAACACTTTAAGTTCCGGGACCGTGCTCGTTTCAGTTCTACCGAATTCGGGGACAAATGATCTTCACTCACGAACTTAATTTAACTAACAATCAATATCCTATAAAAGTACCCACAAATACCGATCCCGGGACACGCAACAGAAAGATATTACTGACGTTACTGTTTCGCCTTCAGCATCTGTAACACCGGGGGAACTCTGTTCCGCCTCTCCCAAGCGTCTTGCTCGCATCAGCTCCTATCAGTTGCAACTCGGAGATTTAGTTTTTCTACGTGCGTTATCAATTTCGGTTATTTTATTTTGTGTGCAATGTTGAATTCTGGTGATCCTTTTGTCCCCACAATCCTTCAGGACTCTGCTCCCGGACGAGATTTTCCTGGTCCATCTGGTCATCCCGGATGGGGACGTGCTCGTAAAACTGTCACCAGTCGCTGGTGATCCGGATCTTTTTGTGGCAGTGGGGAAGAATCGCGAAATACTGATCAATCGGTTAAGTGAAGTAAGTCCCGGGACTATTTCTTAATCCATAGACCCCGCTTGCACAATTGAAAATTAGTTGCTGCGAAATTATATCGCGCAAGGATAAGTTAAGTCCACGTAATGAAGTTTCACAGGAAACGCGCCGCCGGGTCTGGCTGTTGTGTTGCGTAATCCAGAACTGAGTAAACGGGAAACTTCAACTGCCGTCAACGGCTGTTTATCTTCAACCGATTCGCATCAGTCGATCGGGCTTATATTTCTAACCGTTCGACTGATACGCCAACGTTTCTATCACCCGAAGGATCATCTAGGTGGTAATGTGAGAAAGAATAGCGAAACAATTTTTGAATCACTGTTATTGAGTCTACAACCCTGGAACTAGGTACCTATGTGGTAGAGCATTTCGCATGCTGAGGTATCGCGTTGACTCCGATGGAAGTCACTGTCACTGGCGTGCTTTGGACCCTATGGTCCGAGGTTCGAGCCCTGTCCCCGCCACCTAAGTTTGGTGGTAGGCAGCTCTGCTGTCGCCCGGTTCAATATCACACCTAACCTATCGGGGCCTTATGTGGTTCGCCACACTAATTCCCCGAGGGCTTAGTTGACTGATTTCCGTCACTGAACAGGAGGTCCTCGTGACTATGGGGTTCGCCCCGTCTGCTGTTCATTACACTTAGGTGTGTAATAAAAAAATTCCGTCGCCGTTACTTCGTTTAGATGTTCGCCAAATCTTTTGCTATCGCCCGATCGTCCCTTATCCCTACCAACCAGACCTCGTCCGAGAGGGTTACTTCTTCCGTTTATGCTTTAAAGCCTGAATGCGGCGTTCGAATGGATTGACCATATTTTTCCCGATGTTGCCTCGGATTTGAGGGTACAAAAAAACCGGAGGTGGTTACATCCCCTCTTGTGGATTCTTTTCCATTGGGTTGTTCACACTAGAGTTCCTTCTTTGGTTGAAATTATTCCTTGCCCTCCCACATTCCAATGTTTTCAGAAACTACTTCTTTATATCTTGTACGAGTAGTATATCTGGAAGATTCTGAATGGACCATGTTTTGCAAACAAGGAAAGTGGACTAGCTGACGCAAAATCGCAATTACTGCTAACCAGCACAGTCGTAACATGTTGAAGACCCCCATCTATTCTAGTTTCCGTTCAAACCTGCTCATTACACTGCTTCCTGTGCGCTAGTTCGCTTGATTAATTTACCGTGTGGTTCGAGATTCCTCTCTCTTTAGGTTTGGCATCTTTCAACTCGAGGACCCGTCTGGCCTATTCGTCCATCACGACGAGACTGTCCCTTGACGTGGTGTGATGGCTTGCGTGCCTCCATGACCCTGTGAGCTAAATAGGATGGCTTTTCACAGTCGTAGGTCTAATTATGCTTGGAAGTTCAACATGTAGAGGCCAGACGAAGATCAGTCTCACAAGGCAAGCTGCTTGGGCACCTCCTGGCCTCCTTCGTCTATCCACACCCGCCCCTGGAGAGGTCAATCCAGCAAATAAACATGATGAGGGGCAGTTTACCAGTCAAAAAACCTCCGCTAGATGAACGTGGGAGTGGGGTACCTGGGGCTTCCTTTCGACGGTAGAAGAAGTCTTCGCACTTCATTGGACAGCTACCGCTCGCCCAAGCTGGGCAACCCCTAGCCAGTAAGGTGCTGTCCCATCCATGTTCCGCTTGTCTCTGGGTGCATCAGGCTAAGAGCCGATCCCGAAAGGCGGACCGACAATCAACGCACCAGCGAACAACACAATTAATCGAAATTCAAAGGCCTTGCGTGACAGGTCTCTAGAAGCTCCCATACGGGTGCTTCGTTCCCGCGTTGGATTTAAGCCCCACTGCTTTGTTGGTCAGACTTGAGTCAAAGGCTCCTGTTAGGGTTTCCAAAGAAAAACCCCTTCCTCTCAATCCCGAATAACCCCAAACGCCCGCTGTTTACAAAACTCATCAGATCTCACTCAGCGTTTTACCAACAAGTCCAAACAAGCAGAAGTTACAAGATTTTTAAAGCCGAAATTCCCTTTTGACTTAGCCGCATTCTGTGTCCGTACACACTATCAGATCGGTCAACAAGCTGTCTTAGTAAGAACCCGCGAAACTTTCAATTTAGATGAATGTTGTGTATCCGAAATACGCATACAAGACCCCACTTCCACTCTCTCTGCGTTCTCCTGATCCAACCTCAACCTCACGCTTCACCCTTCGTGTTTCAGGCGATTCGGCGTCCGAAGCTCGCCGTGTTGCTGGTGTCGGGGTTGCGCTAAGTGCCAAGGATGAACGCTCGCTTCTCGACTGGATTCCCATCAGTAGCCGACTGTGCACCTTACGTCTCAACGGTTCAGCACGGGTCAACAGCTACAGAAAGAAGTGTCGATGTCTATTCGTCGTGTCGGTGTATGCACCGACCGATTGCAGTACCCCGTTAATCAAGGAAGAATTCTACAATGACCTTTCTCGATTTCTCCAAAACGTTTGATCAACGGACATCGTGGTAACCGCCGGAGACTTTAATGCTCAAGTGGGATCCCTGGACAAATCAGAGAGGCTTCTTAGTGGACCACATGCAATCCCAGCCAACCGGACGGACAACGGCGACCGCCTACTTCAACTCTGTGCCGACCACGAACTGTTTCTATCAGGCACGAACTTCTCGCACAAGAAACGACACCGCCTTACATGGAAACCACCAACCTCTACACTGCGCTGGACCCAAATCGATCACATCGCCATCAGTTACCGCTGGAGGGNATCAATTCAAGACTGCCGCTCTTACTGGTCAACAGCTGTGGACACAGACCACGCCTTGTTACTGGTCAACACATGTGGATACGGACCACGTTTTGCTACTAGCCAAATTCTCCTTACGCCTGACAAACAACTGCAAGAAAGCCACCGACAACAGACCTACGATACACCGTCAGTGATTGTTACAAATTAGCCTTCGGAGCAGAACTCTCCGATCGCCTGTCAGTTCAATCACTAGTCGAAGGTCTCAATGAACACTGGAAGCAAATCAAGGAAGCTATGCAGATATCGATAAAAACAACTTCGGACCCTGCCTCAAGCTCAAAACACAAACGATGGATATCGTCGACCTCGGTTGCCCTGCTGGACGCCCGCAGAACCCTTCCTCCGGATGCCACATACGACACAGCGCGCAAATCCCTCAAACGCAAGCTCATCAAGAGTCTGAGGAATGACCGCGAGAAGTGGTGGGTAGGAAAGTGTAGAGAGACGGAGAAGGCTGCGGCTATTGGTAATAGTCGCAATCTTTTCCGTCTAACTAGGAATACGGGCCCTAGGAAAACAAGCGTAAGTTAGGTAATTAAGGAATCCAATGACACACTGATTCACGATCAGCAACGCCGTCTTGATCGTTGGGCTGAACATTTCAAGGCTCAGTTGAACTGGCCCCTCATCGACACCTGAACTATCACCGCGACTGCACAAATTCTGCCAGTCGATGCCAGTCCTCCATCTGAAATGGGAAGTAATAGAGCAAGTAGAGAAATTTTGCTTTCTGGGCAGTTATACTCACCCGGTGGACACATCAGGGATGAAGTGTCAGCTCGCATACAGAAGGCTCGATTGGCATCTGTGGCGCCGNGTTAAGTGTCGAGTGTATGCTGCAGCAGTTCGGCCAGTTCTGCTATATGGCTCAGAAACTTGGTCATTAAGGAAACAGGATAAAGATAGACTGTCGGTGTTCGAACACCGCTGTCTACGCAGCATTGCACGAATCTGGTGGGGCAGCCGGATGAGCACTGCTGAGGCCAGACGCAGAGTTTTGGGTAACGGCGGTCGCCCACTGGAGCAGGTGATCGACCTCCATAGATTACGTTGGTTGGGACATGTGTTACGCATGTCACCAGGTAGGTTGCGACGGTGAGCAATGTTCGCCGAGGCAAGTAGTGGGTGGAAGAAAATCAAGGGTGGTCCAGCTAAGACCTAGCATGAGGGTATGAAAATCTTGAACATGATTGTGGGTCACATAGGTCCCGTTAGGCTCCCTGGATGGGGACCTCGGGATGGTCTTACCCGATGGTCGAGATACTGAGTGATATGGTTGGGTGTCGTAAACAGTGGCGTCCGTGAATCTTATCAATTTCTCTGTATTTTTAGTCCACTGAACTTTTCAATCCTACTTTCAATCTTTCCTTTCTTTCTCCTAATGTTTATCCAAATGGGCAACCGAGGGATAGCAACCAAAACCGGCGCACGATGCTGCATGGTGAATGATTGTACTAACTGAACTGGCCTTTTCGTCAATTCAGTTAACTTCTCCGTTTCATGTTTTTTGTTGCGCGTTATGTCAATGTAACTGGTCCCGAACCTCTCTGTTCCGAGCTAATCTACATCGGACGCTCAGCGCCGTTGGTAAAAAAAGGCGTACCGCACTCCACTATGGAGGCAAGTACACACAAACTGATCTCGTGGTCGCCCAGGCCCATGTTGACGAGATATGGGCATGGGCGAAATGTCTTCAAAAGCTCCATTATGGTCAGGAGTGGGTGCCTAGGGTTTGGGCTGGATACCCCTCCCTTGCACCTCGCGAAATGCTCCCATACGACCAAGCGTCTCAAATAGCCTCCGCTGAGGAAGCCCTACTCACTGCCTTCTTGTAGAGGAGATGTTTTCCCACTAAAGTGAGAGGACGAAAAGCCGATATCCGGGGCTATAACCGGGTTGGGGAACCACTGATAGTTCACCTAGGGGAGTTAGCCAAAAATCCTGATTGAAAACTAACCAAGAGGAGGCACACGAACCACACATACATGCAACTTTCGGTTTTGGCAATGGTCACCGACTCAACTGGGCATCAAAGTGTATTAGGCACCTTGGACGTTGGACCCCGTCCGAAGGGCGTATGATTCGATGAACTGGACACCGGTCACCAATGGATTGCGGTTTTCACACACCGCTCCGCTGCTTTACAGGTCGGACTTCGGCTAGCCGAAGGCTCCGTTTGTGGATTGCTCAAGAAAATTCACCTGCTTTGGCCTAGGCAACCTGGTAGTATTTAGCCTACGTGCAAATCATGATACGTTTTTCTTTTTTTATGACGTTTATTGTACCATGATTTGTTTGGCACAGTCTGGCTTCATACGTGTGTGAAATATAATAATACATGCCTTTACGTACTGACAGCAATCACATGTTTCGGTTGTCACGTTTTTGCGACACACGTACAACAGCCATTCGTGTTAGAGTGTCTCAAACCATGAACTGATCAGTGCAAATCCTAATCAACTGTACTCTCCCCTCCCCCTCCCACATGTTCTCATTTTTCAGCCCCATCGTTCCCGTTGTACTCCTAAACAGTACATTTATCAGCTGAATACCATATGGGAACAGTTGATCAATCCGCACGTACCGGATGACGTGTACCAACTGTTCTCCTATCAGTCCGCCTCTTTGGGCGTGGAAGAGCTCGTGGTGGGAGCGGCACAATCAACAGACAGTCGCAGTGCCGGTCCGGTTCAGCCCATCCTGATCGCGGTTCGTCCCTATCCGAATACCGCCGAGACATGTGAATTTATTCTCGAAGTGAGCAACTGGTATCCGCGTTTGTTGTTGTTGTTGTTCTTTTAAATTCCTATCGAAAGTGAATTTAAGATTTTGGTTCATGGGATACTTAGTATATAGAAATCCAATAGCCCGAGAAAACCTACTCACAACGTTGAACTTTCTCCGCCTCTGAAAGGCTCATTGTAGTCAGATGTGGGTATCTCGGTTTGTGGATGCTCACCGTTTCCTTGCACCTCGTTCGTCGATCGGATATGACCAAGCGCCTCAAATGGTGCTTACTAAATAAACTCTGTTCACTGCCTTCCAATGGCGGAGGGGCTTTCCCATCCAAAGGAGAGGAAGAAAAGCCAACACCCGGAGCTATAATTGGGTCGATGAACCATTGTCATTTTTCCCAAAGAACTGTAAATTTCTGATCACAAATCAACTAAAAGACGCATATAAACCACAAACACCGGCTCGATTGGTATACTGGGTATCTTGAACGTTTGACCCCGTCCAAAGGGTGTGTTGCGCAATGAATGATGGCGGTTTTCGCACACGAGCCCCGCTGCCTTGCGGATCAGGCTTTGGCTAGTCGAAGGCTCTGGTCGTGACTTCCCCGAGAAGATTCGGTCAATCTGGCAGTATTCTGCCCGCCAGTAACTAATGGATTTTCTTCTTTACTGTATAATGTTTTCTCTGTTTTAAATATTATATATATATATATATATATATGTATGTATATATAAAGTATCCTGTTTTATCCTCTGGGCTGATTACATGTAGCCAGAATGGATTTTATCTAGACTGTCTCTGGAAATAACACACGGGTTTAAATTCAAATTTTTACTATGGGCACATACGGTCGCCCACTGGAGCAAGTGGTCGACCGCCATAGATTACGTTGGCTGGGACATGTGTTACGCATGTCACCAGGTAGGTTACCACGGAGAGCGATGTTCGCCGAAGCAGACACCGAGTGGAAAAAAGCCAAGGGTGGCCAAGTTAAGACATGGCATGAACGGATGAGAACCCTAACCAGGAAACTTGATCACATAGATCCTGTTAGGCTCCCTGGCTGGGGACCTCGGGATAATCGTAACCAATGATTAGAGACACTGAGCGATATGGCTGAGTGTCGTAAACAGTGGCGTTCGTGCATCTCCTCAATTTCTTTCCGACTTTAGACTACTGAACTTCTCTATTTTCTTTTCGACTCCACTTTCAGGTTTCCTTTCTTCTCCTATTCTTCATCCCAATGGGCAACCAAAAGGCAGCAACCAAAACCGGCGCTCGAATATGCGTGGTTAATGGTTGTTCAAACTGAAAACTGAAACTATGGGTACAACATTACAAACCTGATGCTTATTGAATCCCATCAAGATCTGTACACACTGGGTTCGGTTTCGTAGTACAATCAAATGGCAAATTCTTGCATTCACTCACAGGTACTGTAACGTTAGGTGGTTCAGTGCTTCATCAAGCCCTATGGTCATCCCTTCTAAGTGAACTGATTGATTCAACCCTGGCTAATCCGCCACCTACCCACCCCACCCCCATATGGTAGCTAACACGGCTGCTGTGTTGCACACTGTCGGGGTAAACACTATTTGGTCTGATGCCAAAGTCTTGTTCCGGATGAATGTTTGCTACGAGGTAGACACCGTGCAATCAAATACCTGCTCCCTCTAGTAGACACTCAAGTAGTGTTCACTGCCTACACTCCATTTGTCGAGGGCCAGTACAGATATTTGTTCGAATTTGCATTTGACTAAGTCAGTTTCATTTCAACTAATTCTGATCGTTCGAAGAGAGGGATCCCTAGCTAGTGTGTGTGTGTGTATGTGTGTGCGTGTGGTGGTAAAACGTGCTTTCACCACTTTTAAATCATTCCAGGAGATCGAAGTGTGATCATCTGAAGCATGCTTCATCTGTCCGGATATACCATCCATACCCATTGTGAGAAAACACAAAGTAGCGAATGCAGTCTGTTCAGCATCCGGTACTACACTAATTAAGCTATACAGGCTTGGAATAAATAGCTGATTCGCGACCAAGAGGCACTCGATGCCATTGATGCAGAACTGAGGTTTATTCGAGATGCTTTCCTTCAAAACGGATACCCCGTGCGATTTGTGGACAACAATCTGGGTCGTCGTCGGTTGCCAAATAAGACCACTACTGCGGAGAAGAAACCGGTTTACATATCGCTACCTTTCAAGGGCGACACGACTGCCGATATGATGACACGTAAACTCTGTACAGTTATAGAAAAAGCATTCCCCGCGGCTAAACTGCGTATTATGTTCATCTCCAGGCCACTTCTGCGCTTTCAACTCAGATAAATTGCCTGTTTCTGCTGTCTCCTTCTGTATACCTGTTCCTGTGGGTACATTGGCCGCACGAGCAGACGTTTATCTGAGCGAGTTCGTGAGCATCACCCGG